AAGACTTCCAGTGGTGTCCTCCGAACAAAGCCGTTTGGCCTAGCACCCCAAGGAGCAACTGGAGCACGACGTGAGCGTTTGCGGCCTGCTTCTCTTCCGAAATGCGTCTTGGATTTATTAGCTGGCTTTACTATAGGAGCCGAGGATGTTTGGCCTCTTGAGCTTTGCCCCACAAGTTTGTCCTCGGACTAAAGCAAGAAAGCAAACAAACAAGCAAGCAGGCAGGCAAGCAGACGAGCAAGCACGCAGGCAAGCAGGCAGGTAAGCCGACAAGCAAGCAAGCAGCTAGACCATCCATTCCATCCCATCCCATCCCATCCCATCCCATCCCATCCCATCCCATCCCATCCCATCCCATCCCATCCCATCCCATCCCATCCCATCCCATCCCATCCCCTCCCATCCCCTCCCATCCCATCCCATCCCATCCCATCCCATCCCATCCCATCCCATCCCATCCCATCCCATCCCATCCCATCCCATCCCATCCCACCATCCAACCATCCAACCATCCAACCATCCAACCATCCAACCATCCAACCATCCAACCAACCAACCAACCATCCAACCATCCAACCATCCAACCATCCAACCATGCGAATGTGATGCTTGTGGCCTTGATTATTTTTTCGGCTCAGAGTGCCCTCAGAGTTGCTGGAACGTGCTGCGATTCAAGATGTGTGCTTTCCAGACTTAAACGACGACATCAATTCCTGCAAAAGCACACAGCACAAAGGAGGGCCAATCAAACATCGCACTTCCCCCCCCCCCTCCCCCCCCTCCCGGTCTGATCCAACCATCCAACCATCCAACCATCCAACCATCCAACCATCCAACCATCCAATCTTCAGTTCCAACTCACCATCTCACCATCCACCGAATCCAACCCCACCGCTTAGGAGATGAAGGCAGACTCCCCAGACGCCATCCAGAGCCTCAAGGAGGGCTCCGTGCGCTCGGTGATTTGCACCGGGGACAACGCCCCTTGGCATAAGCCAAGCGCTTGGAGCAAAACGAACTCCCGTTTTTGCCGGTTCGGTTTGGGATGTTCCTAGATATCAGCCAACGTTGGGTCCATCTCTAGCTTGGAGATGGTGGTCTTGTCTCCCCAAACCAACCTTGGTTTGGAATGGCCAGCGCAGCATGCCACCAAATGGGGGTCCAGAGGCCACACAGGGGCCGTTGGGGCCGTGATGTTGTTGCCCGGCATCGGACCTGATTGGGAGGTGCTCTTGGCCATGGGCCATGGGATCTTTGTGTGTTTGAATACTCAGCACAGGGAAGAACGGTCCTGGCAAGTGTGGTCTTTCGTGCCTCAAGCAAATGAAAGGAGCGTAGTGACCTAAGAGATGAGAACATCCTGACATTGTCAAGCCGTAGAACGGCCGCGCGAGATGTGCCAGCAAATCTCCGGTGACTCTTGTGCATGGCAACCCAAGAGGCAAGGGTCTAAACACTTAACATGACCAAATTACTTCAGCATAGGAATTGTGTGTCTAATTATTCAGCCCCTTATATGACACTGCGGCCCGATTTGGCACCCACATTTCCACCCCATATGATCATTGAGGGCTATTCGTGTGGCGACTGAGACCTATCAAAGGGCGAATGGCTTGGCTGGCTACCGAGCGGAGAGGGACGTGTAGCCAAGGAACTGACAGGCATTGCCATTGGCAGGCCGGGGTCATGCGGAGATGGGTTGGTTTGGATTGACCAACATGCAAACTGCTGGCAGAGGATCAACCCGCTTATCAATGATTAACATGTCTCCTGACAGAGCCCCAAGACCCTCCAAATCAACCCTTTTGTGTTAGCTGTATTCTGACCTTGAAGCTTCTTTCTGGGAAAGCTCATGGCAGGGTCTCTGGGGAGTCACTGGTTGGACCCTGCTTTTGGAGCAGAAGGGCCGCTCACAGGGATGTAGCAGTTCGAATGCTTCTTTCGGAAGGCATTTTTCTTGCGAAACCAGCCAGTTTCAGGGGAGCGATGGGGTGGTTACACAGGCACGCACACACACACACACACAAACTCTGTGAAATGCACGGTCAACGGACCTCGCTTGCGTTTAGCTACCACGCTGCGTTGGTGTCAAGGGCCGGCGTTGAACATGTTCAAAACAGTTGATTCAACTGGATCCCCTTTAATGGTGCCCATGGCCCGCTCAACACATTTTGCCGTACCCTGCTTGGGAAACTTAGCTTGTCTCCCAATGGCCAAGCGGATTTCCTTAGCACGCTTTGTTGGTTCCATGATGCTTAGTGGACGGCAGGGTACCGGTTTAGTTGGGAACACTTGCAGCTGTTTGATGCTAGGTTTCTTCAGGAAGGTAGTAAAATTAATCCAGCATCATATATGTGGCCCCTGAAGGGCACATCAGACAATTTGCTGGGATGAGGTGAAGCACCTGGACCAAAGAAAGGATACACAAGTTGTGCCCCGAAACAGACCTCATTGAGGCCCATGGCCTTACTGGGTGGGTGCGGCGGTCCCTAGTGTAGGTTTCCATGAAAGAGGATGTTCTGGTTGGTTTCAGATGCGACTGAGTGGCTTGTGGGGACTGACACCCGAGTGGTCAAGAGGTAAAACGGTAAAGCCTCATGTTTCGTTCTGTTTGGTCTACATGTAGCTGCGGGAATAACAGATAACAACATCCTCGAATATGGTTGGCAGAGGTATATCCTCATGCAATCCATGGCCACCGAAGAGTTCATGGCCAAGTACAACTCAGACATTTTGTAGTCTGGGTGCCAAAAGGTTTGGATCTCCTTGCATATAGCTGAGAGCTCTGGGGTTTCAAACCACGTTGAATCTCACTTTAGGCGTTGATGATGTTCGATAAGGAGGTGACTATCTTAAAAAATAGAGTGTTGTTTCCTGATTCAGGCTCGTTTCTGCAGACATGCTTCGTTTCGTTCTGTCTGTTTCCTGGATTTCCAGCTTGAGATTTGAGCGATCGCCAGGCTTTGCGGAATTGTGACCAGCACCATTTGCCTTCGCGGCACCGTGGAGAATGGCAACCCGGATCGAAGGAGTCGGACGTTGGGGATGTCAGACGGTTGGATCCCTCAATTAAAGTGGCTGCTTGTTGAGGGGTTCTCAAAGATAGTCCCTTTAGCCAACCATTTTTAACAGTGATTTTGAGGATATCACTTTAGTGGACCCAGGCATTAGGGTGCTGGGTAGCCTTGTTGGCTTGGTGTAACGGGAAACCGAAAGGAAGCAGCAACTTGTTTTTGGTTCCCTATTATTCCCATTCTAAGTTCACAACATATGGGCGACAAAGTTCACAACATATGGCGAGAAGCATATTTTCAGTTGGATGGAAGCAGTTTTGATGGGGGTAACTTAGAATAGAGGAGCCTCAAACTTGGGTTGTGTCCTTGTCGGTTCACCTTTTTGACACCGAGCAACAGGGGGTTTACATTTCTTGCGTGGCATGGTCCAAAGGGGTTCTTTCACCTCTTTTTGGAGAGCAATAGCTTTGACAAAGTCCTCAACCGACCTAGCAAGTCTCAGCTGCGATGCAGCATGTCGGCTCACTGGCAGTTTTCCTCCCTCCCCTACTATCGGAAAGTGGAATGGCCAGTGTAGGTCTACCCAGGTTTCATATTTTGCGCGGTTGCGTACAACACCTTACTTGGCGTCACACACAGTGTCGCTTTGCGGGACCCGTTTCAAGGTCATCCTGTGCTGCATCTAACGGGGGCCCAGAACTTTTGCCGCAAGAGCTAAGTAGCCATGCTGCAAAGGAAGGAGCCAAAGCAATTCCCCAAAGCCTCTCAGTCTCTTGCCGGCTCCCAATGTTTGAAGTTTTCTTTGTCGAGACCTGTATGTCTGTGCGCGTGCGCCTCACGCAGAATGGCGCCGTTTCGCCGTTTCGCCCGAGGCCAGCTGGTTTGGACCGATCCCGACAACGAGGGCCGCCCAGCGCCTTGGAGCGGCTCAGTCCCTGGGATTCTGGGGCGTTTCTTGAGAAGCTGAGGCCAAGAGCGGCTCTTGAGAAGTTGGGTCACCAAACTATGGGCCTCGCAAGTTTTCGAACATTTTATGGTGGGTTCGGAGGCAAGTCTTGCTGGCGTAGTTCCCGGTTTCACGGCAGCCTAAAAGATTAAAGATTTACACTTGTCTGGTCTGCAAGTGAGGTACAGGAGCCCGGCAATTGGACTTGAACGAACTCTCACAAGGGATGTCATGGCCATACCCAGGGGGGCTGTTAAGAGTAGGGACTCTGTCTGGACCGTTGGTTTTTGTTGTTTGGTGCCGCCGTTGCAGTCCACGAACAGACAGGGTTCCATGTTGATTACCCCAAGGTAGACTTGAACCGAGGGGTTGTTCATGCGCGAAACACTTACTGCCGCTAGCAATGGCGTTGCCTTGTCTATTTGTCAAGAAGGGAACCTCTGGGATGTCTGCAATGGGGTAATCAAACCATGGAACGCTAGGTTCTTGGAGGAACGCAGCCCACCAAGCCTTAACCGACCAGAAACCGGCCCTTTCCCAACGGGATATCTCGGGGTGTTTGAGCCGATGAGCCCGGCATTTCCTCTGTGAGGTGTCGCCAGAGAGCCCTGACCCCCACTGCCAGCTGGCACTCACGTGCTCTGCCTGGCGGCATTTGTACAGCGTGGACAAGCAGAGGATGGAGGAGCGCCGGCTGGGCGCACTGTGCAGAATCTTGTCCACAGCAGTGGTTTGGGCATAGAGGTGGCAAGGTGGAAAGCTGGGTCCAGGATTTTGGACCATTCCCGGGTTGAGCTCAGAAAGGTTGAAACATTTGAGAGCGTACCCGATGTTAAACCGGCCGTGCGAGCCGACAAGCCGACAAGCATATGGAATCCCTAGGGCCCTTGAGAGGGACATCCTTATACTTGGAAGTTGCCCCAATACACATGCATTGATGACACTACAGCTCGTCGACTGCAGCCAAAGTGGATCGCAGGCTGCACACCAATTCCTGTGTGTGTGTGTGTGCCATTGTTTCTTTTTTGTCTTGGGGTGCC